GGTGCTCTTGCGTTAAGAAACCAACACTCCTTCCCACTCTGTGCCTCAGCTTCTGCCCCACACTTGTACCCTATACTCCAATCTCCGTCCTCCATCCCGCCATCCCTCCGCAATCAGGGTTCTGATAGGATAGGAAGACAAGGCGGCGTTGACCCCTTCCAGAGCGGTGCTTTTTCACCTCCAGGGCCCCGTGAGTCGCGTCCAGTCTCCGCCCACGGCTTACCTTCCTCCGGCCCAAAGCCACTGTTGCTGCTGTCCAGGGACTCGCAGTCCGAGCTCTCCAGGCTCGCGCAGCGACCAAGACCCTCTTCTCGGGCCGCCGACCCCCAGGCTGAGCGCGGCGGCTGATCTGGGGTGTGAGTTCGGGACAAGGACGACGATGAAGAGGAGGAGGACGATGAGAAGCGATCCCAAAGGCTAGGCATGATGAGGACAGACGCCAGGACGTTTGCAGTTGAGCTCTGGATGCGGGAACGCAGAAAACGCTGTAAGACAGGAGGCGCACGGACCCGGCGTCAGTCTGGGGGCCGGACCAGACTGAGAGCGCTCGGACCCGCAGGATTGAGGCCTCCCCACGCAGGAATCAGTACATACTGAAAGGACACTTACCAGCTAGCTCGGTCGGCGAGAACTGCTAGGACAAGTGCGTACTGCCGCTTGAATGGGTGCGCGAACTGGTATCAACCCCCGCGCACTGCCCAGACCTGTCCCTTCTACCCACCCGCACCTCCCCCTTGGCCTGCCGCGGTCCCTAGCACCAGCACCGAGAGGCCTATAAGGACTAGAGCGGAGAGGCCACGCCTCCTCAGCGCCTCAGCCCAATCCAGATCCGGGAGTGTGGCCCCCCTCGGCCAATGGGCTCCGGGCGCACGTTCGCAACGTTCTCTCCTGCCCGGTGACAGAGGTCTGGCCCCGCCCCCGCTGAGCCCCAGAACGCTCCCAGCCGAACCCCGCGCCGCGGCCACGCCCCCTTTCTGGAAGGGATCCGCGGCGGCTGCAGCTGCCAAGGTCCCCGAGGGCGCTCGCGGCAGGGGAGGATCAAGGAACGACTTGTTTATTATAGGGTCCTGTTGCTGGGGGAGGGGGTAGCCGTGACCGCGCGGGGGGAAAGGCAGGGGAACTTGAGGGGGCGGCGGGCCGGGAAAACGGTTGCCCCCAGCGTCTGGGAACCTGAGACTACAGGCACAAATAAGCGCTCGGGTGGATGCCTGTGGGACGGCGGCGCGGGGAGCAGACGTTAACCCGGCCGGACCTCGCGCACATACCCCACGCTAACCCGGCCTTGCATAGGGTCGGAATATGGGGATGGGGTCCAGGCAGGGCTGGTCCCAGCACCGAGCTCTCTTGCAGCGCCACCAGTTTGTTAACTCTACAGCCCCAGGGGGTGGGTTAATGGGGGAGGTCCATGCCCCCCCCATATGATCCTCGTCCGCTAGATCGTGTCCGCTCCCACCCCCAACTGCTTCCAAGGCGAGAGTTTGGCGAGGGTGGCTAGAAGAGGTTTGTTGGGCTCGGGTTCCTAGCGCCTGGTCTTGGGTCTGAGAACGGGGACTCAAATTCGATGAACACAAGGGCCCTCCGCGGGCCCTACAAACCGACAGACTCCCCCGCCCTCTGTACCCGAGAGTCCTCGGGCGTCTGCCGGGTCCTAGCGCCCCTCCTTCCAAGGCGCTTTGTGTAAAAGAACCGGAGAGTTGCATCAGGACCAAGGACTAGATCTCCGGAAAAGTCCGGGAGTGCAATGGCCATCCCCTGTTTCGTCATTCAGGCGGGGCCACAGGATATCTGGCTTGATGGCAGTGCTCGGGGACGAATAATGATTGCTGAGGGTGGGAGGAGGTTCGGACGGACTCGACCTTTACGTCTTTAAAGGCTTATCAATCTGGGACACCAGGATCCCGATAGAAGAGGGAACCAAATTTACAGCAGACGCTCCCACTCCGGGAGCCTAACCAGATCCGACTGGCAGGCCTCGCCTCGGGGGCGGGCTTGCGCGTGACAGATGACACTTGCTGGAGGTCGGGCCCCTGCCATCCCCACCCCCACCTAATTAAAAAAAAAAAAAAAAAAAAAAAAAAAAAAAAAAAAAAAAAAAAAAAAAAGGCTGACCCGTGGGCCTTTCGGGCAAACCGTGACTCGAACCAGAAAGGACCGGAATTGAGGCCCTGCACCGCCCCCCTCCCCCATTTTCCAGATGGAGGAACCAATTATGGAGACAAATTTATGGATAAAAAATAAATTAGGGGGAGTCAGATTAGGAGATAGCGTTAAGATTGCCGCGCAACAGAATAGTCTTTTGGCCGCTGGGGCGATTAAGGCCTGAACACTGGCCCTTTCTTCCAGTCCTCCGAGTTCCAGTCACTTACTGGGAGCCTTAAAGACACCAGGGTCAGGGGGGTTAGGGGAAGTGCTTGGAGGGCTGGTGGTGGTAGATGACATTCTTTTGAAATCACAGTTTACTGAGGTGGGGTGACCCGTATGGATGTGGCCTTGTCGCCAGGACAGAAGGTTAGGGAATGAATCCATCAGAGTACTATTCCCTCTTCCCACCAGACAGACTGGGTTGGGGACACCTGAGACAGAAGGAGATAGTTTGGGGATGTTTTTCTTTTTCATCTCTCTCTCTCTCTTTCTCTCCCTCTCTTTGTGGCAGGAAAAAAAGGAAATATTTCAGAAAAAAATGTGGAACACTAAGAAAAAGAGAGGTTTTTAAAAAAGTGGATATTCATAAGCAAAAGAATCCAGAGACCGTGTGGAGAGCTCAGTTCACCAGAAACCATTCATATTCAATATGGTATTTGTGTGGTGCATTTGAGTGTTTGTGTGTGTGTTGAATATGTGCAGTGTGTCTGCAGTGTAGGGTTTGTGCTTTGTATGTATTTTGTGTGTATGTGTGTGGAATATCTGTGGTGTGAGTGTGCTGTATGTGTAGATCTTAGTGGGTGTTGGTTATGGTGTGGTGTATGTGAACTGTGTGTGTGGTATATATGAATTGTGAATGTGGTTTATATGTGGAGTATATGCAGCGTAAGTGTGGGCTGTGCAGTGTGTGTATGTGTGTGTTATTTGTGTGGCAGCGAAACATGGTCATGAAACAGTGTGCTAAGCACATTTTATCATTCACTGTCTCACTCTGTTATTGCCAAGTTTTTCCCAAATGGGAAGGCCTGTGTTAATGGGCACTGAGTAATTTTGTTTCTTTTCAAAAGAAATCCACTAATGTTGTTGCCTCATTGTGTTTTCTAAAAATATGGAAAAAAGGACCAGCAGTCTTAGCCATGGACGTCTCTCCCAGAGCAGAAGGGGTGGGCTGCAGAATAAACAATCACCTACAAGGAGGACTGGGGGCCAGGGAGGCTCCAAACGGACTTTCCTCACTGACCCCCTTCTCCCCTGTGAAGGAGGGGTCAAAGCCCCATACCATTGTCTTCCAGGAGAACCTTTGGACCTGGAAGAGGAATTTCTTAACTGTTAGCCCCTCTGTGGAGGCAGGGTAAAGGGCGTTGATCCATCGTGTGAAGGGAAGGGAAGGGTAGGATCCCTTCCATCTGGCTGGGGCTGCAAAGACTTCATTACCACCCCACTTACCCCTCCCACTATTGAAGCAGATGGGGGTGTGGGAAACACCTAAAATGTGTAACTCCTGGGGGAGGAGGAAGCTCAGTCTCCTCACCTCTAAGCCAGGCCCCCTTGGAGACCTCAAAGATCCCATAAACCCTGCATTTGGTGTGCTTCTCTCTCCCTACTACTCCCCTTGGGCCTAAGCTGGCTGCAGGTCAGACTTGCCTGAACATGCCCCTGCCTGAAGCTTTGGAGACCCAGCTCTGGCATCCCTGCAGCCAAGAAGCCTTCCCCAGCACACCCACACCCACCCTCCCATCCCTTAGGTGCCCCTCCTCATGTCATCCTTATACCTGTGTATATCTCTTGTTAATAATTGTTTCCACTTTAGTCTTCTTATTGGACTATGAGCTTCTTGAGGATGGTGTTCTACTCTCCTTAACCTCCAGTGGACAGCACATAGTAAAGGCTCAGTGAACATTCCTTGGATGAACAGATGAATGGATGGATGGATGGATGGATGGATGGATAGATGGATGGATGGATAAAGCAAGAAGGTGAATTTTCCCAGAATTGTAGACCTACATCTGGATTCCCAAGACCAAGGTGGGCCTTTGGGGTGGACCTTCAGAAGACCTGGATGCTACGTTTCTATCCTTCTTCTGACAAGTGCTGCCCAAAGTCTTGGATGTATCTGAACCTTTTCCTCCTTTCTCAGCTCAGGTCTGGGAGTGGGGCTTCTAAGGCCCCAATTTAGTTCTCCAATTCGAAGATAGCATACAACCCAAGGAAGCTGGGGAGAGAGGGGACATTGTGTAGAGGGCTGATGTGGGGAATCTTTTCAAGCAATTAGTACTTTGCCTTCAAGTGCTTCAAAATACTTAAAAAAAATCTTTTGACATAAAATTCACATACACGTTCACAATTTTTTTAATTTTTATTTTTGAGACAGAGAGAGAGAGAGAGAGAGAGAGAGAGCGCGCAAAGGGGATGAGGGGCAGAGAGAGAGGGAGATCCAGAATCTAAAGCAGGCTCCAGGCTCTGAGCTGTCAGCACAGAGCCTGACAGGGGGCTCGAACTCATGAACTGCAAGATCATGACCTGGGCCAACGTTGGAAGCTTAACTGACTGAGCCACCCAGGTGCCCCACGATGAACAATTTTAAAGTGAACGATTCAGTGGCGTTTAATTCATTTCCAATGTTGTGCAACCACTATCTCTAATTCCAAAACATCTTTATTACCTCAAAGGAGACCCCAGATCCAAGCGCTGGGTCACTCTCGTCAAAATCCTTTTGAAGTTTATATTCCCTTGTTGGAATAGGGTTGCTCCTTTGCCCAACTCCAGAGGGCATCCTTCGCTTTTGAGTCTGTGCATTTACATATGTCTTCTAGGGAATTGTGCTCTAGGGAACACGGGTCACATAGACGTAATGTGCAACATGGACATCCAGACAACCACGGGGAGACTGGCTGAACTCTGAGCAGGAGTGGCCTAGTGTCACGTCCTGGGTCCTGAGTGACTCAGGCCTCTGGAGCTGGTAATCAGGCCCCATGTCCCAGTCACTGTGGCCAGAGCCCTGACCACACAGACACTGCCTCTTCCCGGGCCCTGCTCTATTCCCGTGGGACCTGCCACAGCCTGCAATTGAAAGTCAATGAGCACTCACTCCTGGCCTCCTGCCTCGCCCGGTTCAGGCGGTTTTTGTCCAGCGCACCGATTCCCAGGGCCTCAGTCTGGCAAGTCGCCCGAGTCGAGTTTGGGAAGTTAAACCAGATCTTGGGGTGGGAACCCTAGAAGTCAGGATGGGAACCCCTGAAGGCCAGCCAGCTTGCCTGCAAGGCTCAGCTTGGGCACCTTCGCAGTTCTTCGGAAACATCTCATTGAGGGTAGTGGAGGTGGCGGGAGGAGCCAGTGGGTCAGGGCGGTGGGGAGAAGGTGGAGGGGTGTGGTAGGAGGTGGGGACAGTGGAGCCAGCAAAAGTGTTCCCAGGACTTCTGCGGCTTTTTTTCTTGAAAAACAACAAACAACCTTGTCAAAATCAGCAGCGCTGTAAGTGCACCCGGTTTATTAGGAGGGTTGTGAAAAGCTATTGACAGCCCAGG